ACACACACACACACACACACACACACACACACATTATCAGGTGGAAAATGACACACACAGGATGCCTTATAGGACCTTCAGAGGTTCTGAGGGTAATGGAGGGTGTGAGAAGGGATTTTATGTGTTAATACATGTTTACCACAAACATGGTTGTTTTATTAATTTCTATTTTTAAAAAAGGTAAAAGCCAGCTATTTTCCTTTTACTTTAAAATTAGGTTATGACTTGAAACTGAAGTGTGCTAGCTATAGCACAAAAGCAGAAGGTGCAAAAATAACTTATGATGAAATGAACAGAACAGACAGTTCTGCTCGTTTCTAACAGCCGCACTGCAGGGGAATTTTGTGTTATACAATCTGTAATTATACAGCATGAGGTAATGACCAAAAATTCCACAAAAGGAGATCAGATCTTTTAAATTTTGAGCTCTGTAAGTAGCCCTTCAGATTGGAGAATTTGTTTTTTTCTGACCAAATTGATGATCTAGCAGCTGATCTGAGAAGGAAGACAAAATGTGTGGGTTTCCTCCTGGTTTCCTTCCACAGACAAAAAACATATTAGTATATTAGGCTAATTAGCAACTCTAAACTTGTCTAAAATTAAATGTTTGTCTTTGTGTGACGTACATGCAACCCGTCCAAGGTATACCCACCCCCTGCACGGTGACTGCTGGAGTGAACCCCTTTACCCAGAAAGGAAGATGTGTAAAGATAATGAATGGATGAACTGCTTTAAGACCAACACTAATTTTTCTTTAGTCCTGGCCATGCGCAGACTTGCTGTTAGCTCATCAGTCTAGTCAGAATTYAACTATTCCTCCAAGGCTGTTTAAAGAGTTATGTACAGCAGGTAGSATATTATTTGTTTACAACCTTTACACAAAACCTGGTTCGAAAGATCTGAACAATCCATTTTACTGTCAGAAACTTTTAATTTTATTATAAACAACAAGATTGACATTTGGGCTTACATTATTTTAGAGCCCTGGTTGGCTGTGTTGAGGCCCTGCTCTTCTCTAACCAGCCTCTGAAAGGAAATTCCTGCAAAACAAGCAGACATTACTAAAACACTCCTGATACAGTTACATTTGAAACTCCTAAAAACAAAATGCAGATGAGAAAAAGTAAATTAAGTTTAGTGAAGGGATTTTAAAAAAAGCTGCAGCAGAAACAAGATGCTCAAACTTTCATTCAGGTTATTCAAAGATGGTTGAATGAAATAAGAACAATTATTCATTCTGTTTTTGGCACTTCCTTCCTCTGCTGATTCTTGTGAATATCTCTGTTACATTTTACAATCGGTTCCTGATTCATGCCATTAGTGCTACAACTACATCCGCTTTCGTGCAGGACTGTTGTGGAATGAAGAAGTGCCCAGATCACCTGTAGCCTCTAAATTTGTTTGCGACTACAACGCTCCAGCTGAGGCATCACCCTGAATGCATTTCTTTCACCCGTCACTAGAGGGAGTGTTACAACAAAAACTGGAAGCACACTGCTGAGGGAAACAAGTCTCTAAAACTGCTGGTTGTCAAACAAAGATGAAACAGAACAATAATGATGAAGGTAATATTTACCAGGAGCCTTGATCTCCAGCTGTAGTGTGGAGAGGAGCTCCCTGCACACGCTGCAGTACGGCTCGGGCCACGTGAGGAATCGGTAAAACACCGTCATGGCTTCCTCCAGTAGCTCTGTGCTCGGTGGACAGTACGGCATCTGCAATCAAACCACAAACAAGCTTTAAACTATCACATTTAAAAATAATCTGTTAGAKGTCTCAGTTGATATAGTCATTTATTGACAGATATGTTTTATTTAGGGAACAGTAGAGTGACTGAAAATATCGAACTCCACCCTCTTGATTCTGGGGCTAAATATTAAAGGACGACATAAAAGCAATGCAGTTTTTACCAGGTTCTGAAGCTGTTCAACAAATCTGTTATTTATTCATGACTTATCCATAAAATCAGTACAAAAATTAATGTGGAGGAACTTAAAAAGTGGATGAAGTATGGTGACAGATCAGGAATGTGATTTATTACAATCATCARCACCATTAAGTGGCATTAGTAGGTTAATGCAGCATGTAGTTATCTGTCATTCATCACATTCTGGACTGATGTGTGTTYCTAACATGACTAACAGCATTACAATTAATTATGATGTATGTCTTCTTTATTGTGGTAATTTTTTTGTAATCACAGGCTTTATGGGCAACAACCAAAAAAATCCATCTGTGACGTTTTTCAGAATCTTCCAGCTGCGTGACAAATGCTTCACATTTTGTATGACATCTCAAATTGAGAAAAACACTGATTGCTTACTTTTCAACCCAAAGTTTTCAGATGACTAAACCTATGCATACTGTCGCAGGAATTATGTAACTGAAAGTGAGAGAGTCTGAATGAAAAAGAGGGGTGTTTGTGAGGAAACTGGTTCTCCCAAGGCCAGTAAATGTTGTACTTTTAGTGCTGTTGCAACCGTAACAGTAAACACCTTAAACTGATGTTGTTGTGGTTTGAATAGAGGAACTCGGAGGTTTTGAGCCGAGCGTTCTCTTACACGTGGTGGTGTCAAACACAGAACTGCTTCAAGAGGGGTCAAAAGGTTTGACGTATCGATGTCGAAGTGGCTGTGGACAAACTGTACCTGCAGCAGAGTGGAGGTRAACATGACGGCCAGAGGAACCACCAGCTCATACTGACACTGCTCCTGAACCTGCAGGCACAGAGAGCAAGAGTTTAAGAATTACTGAATCATTAAAACAGCTGACACTTCACATCAAACTGAGGATTAGGTCTCAAAGTAGAGAAACAGGCAGCTAATGTGTTTTGGTTGAAACATTTTGTCAAAATATAATGAATAAATAACTGCAGTTTGTTTAAATGACATATCTGAAATAAKCTAAAAACTGTTTGAGTAGTAGCTACAAAAAGAAAAACATGATTTTGAGAAAACCCTTAAATTTTTTATTTTCCTTCTGAGCTAAAACTTTTCCAGCTAATAAATCACAATATACAAATACTGTTTGGTTTCTCCTTTAAAATGACATTTAAAAATTCCTCATCAGAATAACTTAAAAAGAGGATTAAAACCAAATCTCAGTGGGTAACCCTGATTAGAAAGACAAATCAAGGCAAATGTCTGGAGTCGCTCAGATTATCAGGATGATCCGGGTATGAAAATGTATCCCAGAAAAGCAGGAATTTTAAAAAGTGTTTAGGTCATTTTGACTAAATTTGACTTAGGCTTCAGTTTTATGTGGTGGGTCACGCATTGTGAGAGGAGAGCACGTTTTGTTCCATCACCTCTCTCGTCTTTGTGATGATYTGTTGCAAAAGGATGAGGGAGTTTTCAGGGTCTCTCTTCACCATCTCCTCCAAGCTCCAACGGTTCATCGACTGACCCGCTGAGCACATCAGGACTGAAAGAAAACACATGAGCTTTTATAGAATTACACGCACCGCTTCAATAGGTATTTGCATAATGCATCAAGTTAGACAAGGCCCCTGGAAAGTTACAGCAGGTAAAATAAGTATTGAACACGTCAACATTTTTCTCAGTAAATATATTATTAGAGGTGCTAATGATATGAAA